TTTTTTTTTTGGTTTTTCTCCGGTACCGGGAACCAAACTCACGACCTTGCGCTTGCCAAGCAGGCGCTTTTGCCGCTGAGCTAAATCCCCAGCCCAACTTCAAATACTTTAAAAAAAAATTTTTTTTTGAGACAGGGTTAGGTGGGATTTGAACTCACTGTGATCTTCTTGCCTCAGCCTCCTGAGTGCTGGGATCACAGGTGAGTGTCACTACACCTAGCTTACTTTTTGAAATATACAGCATTCTTTTGTGCAATCTAGGTTTTAAAACAACTGCAGATTAGACAAAAGATCTCTCAATTCTATATTTTTCAATAAATGGAGTATTTTCTACTGGCAACAGAAGCAATTTTATGTGTATCCCTCGGTTATTACCACAGAAATGATTTATAATTTGCCTACTAAAGCAGGAAGCTGTTGCATCTCAATAAACTATTGATAGTTCTGCAAATACTACTAAAGCACCTGAAAAATATGGACTGTGAACTCATTCTCAGATTCTAACTCAAAGCTGGACACACAGACCTTCTATAAATGTTGACATTAAGAGAACTATTATTGCAAACTTCACTCTTGATTTCATTTTCTTTATAGAAAAAGCAGGTAAGTAAAAGCAAAATTCATTTCATACTTGTATTCCCAGAACTAGCAGTGCTTAGAACACAGGTGTTTTAAACTCAACATTTAATGTTGAATGGACATACAAGGAGTAATCAAATATATGGTGTTTAAATTTAAAAAATCTTATTACAGTAAAAGACGCACTGCCAAGAATGAGGGGATAACTGTTCAAAATGAGGGTGAAAGCCTTTGTGGTGGTGCATGCCTGCAATCCCAGCACTTGGGAGGCTGACTGAGGCAGGAGGACTGCTGAGAGTTTGAGGGTGGCCTGGGATACAGAGCAACACCCTGTCTCAAAAAAAAGCGAAGCGGATTAATGGGAATGTCTTTTACGATAATACATTTTTAGTCAAAGGCGAAAGATTTATATGATCCAAAGAGAAGCCAGAGTATATATAATAAATTTTTAAATTTAAATATTCACCACAATTTATGATCACCCTGCATTCATCAAACGTTTACAGCAATTTCTGTCCAATAAAAACATAACAGTGTATCCTCATCCGCCTTATTCACTGGATCTGGCGCTATTTGACTTCTGGCTTTCTCCCCAAAGTCAAAATGACTAGACAAGGTAAACATATAGTCAGTTCAGGGATCCAAGCACTCCCCACAGTGTAACTAAAGACACCCAAGGAGGATGTCCAGAGCCACTTCAGAAAATGGCAAGAACAACGGGGCAAGTGAGTCTGAAGTGAAGGAGAGAATTCTGAGGGATTCACGGCAATGTGTCTTTTAGTGTAATACATTTTAAAATTTTAAACATTCATGTATGTTTAAATCATTAAAGTATTTAAACATTCATGTATTTTAAAATTTAGTTTCTGTTCAAATCATTAAGTGCAAAAGTATCTGAGTTTAAAAACCAAACTATAGCCAGGCGTGGTGGCGCATGCGTGTAATCCCAGCACTGGGGAGGCTGAGGCAGGAAGATCGTTGTAAGCTGGAGGCCAGCCTGGGCTACAACGTGAGCTCAAGGCCAGCCTGAACTGCATAGCGAGACCCTGTCTCAAAAACAACAACAATCCAACAACACAAAAAATACCAGATTTCTATACTCCTTACCTCCCAAGAAAAATGTCATAGGACTGAGACCCTGGGAGTGCATATAGGGTGGGACTGGCTGAAGAATGTCAGAATCTGCTCTTAAAGCACAGCAAATGCTTATCCTTCAAGGTCTACAGTATATGCCTAGAATTTAATTGAGAGAACTGGGAACAGAAGAGAGTAGGAAGAGCTGTTGTGGGCGCAGAGGGTGGGGCCCACTGCATTCAGGAAGGGCTCAGGAGATGGTGTCGCGGTCCCGACAACTTTTCCTTCTTCAAACCACAGCTTCTAATTCCTTTTTACGGATCAAATGCAAGGATGGAAAGGGACACCGCGTGTTCTCAAATTCCCTAACCATTTCTGGATTCCCCCACAAACACCCGCCCAACCAAGGGCCTCGTCCTTAAATGCCCCCCCGGAATCTTCCCAACGCTACCACCCTCGCCTCCCTGGAGACAGATGAGGGCAGTTTCGGGGGGCCCCCAACTTCAAGGCCTCCTGGAGCGCATGCGCCACAGCCTCGGCCCGCCGCGGCACAGACAACGGCATCCGGGCCGCACCCTTCCCCCGACCTAGCCCGATGTTGAGCGCCTACAGGCCCATCAGTACCGGGACTCGGTGGCCGCAGATATCACCATCCACTGCTCACCTGAACTCTCCGCAATGCCTGACAAACGAAGGAGAAGCAGCACCAGAAAACTGTCTTGAGGATCGCAGAAGGTGCCGGCGACTGCTAATCGGCGCTCACTCCCGCCTCCTTATTGGCTACGGTTCTCTTGCGACACAACGTGCGACGCGAGAGGAAACTGTGGGGGCGTGCGTCGAGGGCTACTGCGCTTGCACGGCTCTCTAGTCTTCCGGAACTAGAAGTTCCCGAGCCTTTGTTTCCCTCCGGGTAAAACAGTCCGGCGGGAAAAGGAAGAAGTTATGCTGGGAGTTGTAGTTTCGTTGTGCCCAGGCTGGACTTGTTCGACTTCTTAGGCACTGGTCATTACTTACGTTACATGAGAAACGCGATAGCAAGGATGTTGCTCAGCGGTGACACCTGAACTTCGTTAACATGTGTATGGAACATTTCCCCTTTTCTAAGTTTGAGGTATAATTTATATTATATATAAAACATATTATAAATCTAATCTAATATATAGGTATACATATGTATATGTATATATTTCTCAAAATAGTATTATCAAGAAATTTGAGGTATAAAACATATTATATATAAAACATATATTTAAAACAATGAATCAGTAACTCTCCGAATACATACAGACTTCCCTTGCTTAACGATCTGTTTAGCAACTTACGACCCATGGGTTTTTATTTTTTGTACAGTTCTGTACATCTTGTTGATAAAGCTTCCGTGTCTTTTTTGCAGAGCACAACTTGTTTGTACAGTAGTGTAATCCTTGCTGATTGTAATGTACAGTACTGTAGTTTTATGTGCTATTATATATTACCGCACTGGTGCAAGTAAAAGCAAAGGCATCAGATTGGAGTTTCCTTTGACCATTTCTTTGATCTAAATACTGTATTGTAATGTACAAACTATATACAGTTACTCATGTAGACCAGTTCATTTGGTCGCAGGAATGAGTCTTGGTCATTAAACGAAGCATGTCTGCTCTACTATCTGTAAGGCTCCAACCGAACCTGACTCACCCAGCTCCTAGTCCGCTTTGTCACCAGAAGCACTACTCTCTGCAGAGAATTCAGCTCAGCACTCGTGGCTGTCGTCCCCAAGCACAGGATGTTGTAGAGCAGATAAGACAGGACAAGAAATTTTGCAGGATCTGGGGACATCTGGAGACCCGAGAATGTACATCACACACTTCAAGGACTCCGTCCACTAAGGTGCAAGACTGCCAGAGAACTTTGACTACAGATGTTTGTTAGGATCTTCCTACCTAATGTCCCCTGCCTTCTTCTCTCCGTCCCTATAAAAAGGGACACACTTATTTTTGTTCACAGCAGACTGTCTTATCATGCTCTCTGCCTGCCTGCACCTAGGCACAGTAAATCCCATGCCATGTTCACTTTACACAAGCCTGGTGGTCTCTGCTGGTTCCCGTCCTTCCATATATTACATATGTTATACCGTCCACACCCAGAACATTTTCACCATCCCAGTAGCTTCCTTCCTGGCTTCCCTAGCACGAGAATTTTAAGAACTGGCTCTTGCTTTGAGTGTGAAGATTAAGCCCTAAACTAGGGAATGGAATGGAGATGGCCTTGTGTGTTTCCTTCGTGACTGTGTATAGTTTATAATCTATGGTCGTCCCCGAGAGGTTCCAATTTTGTCCGGCCTTCATCTTCTGAAACCTCATGATGGTAATGAACTTGATGCGGCTAAGAATTTAAATGCCTATGGGAAGTAAGTCTTCTGCCCGCTTCTGAGCCAAATGCCAGTCCCCGAAGCCTGCATTCCTTACGGAAAAGGTGCGAAGTGGAGAATGAACAGTCTCATTGTCCACCTCTGCGTTCTAGAACCTGGAAACCAGGCGGGCGTCGGTGCGCTGCGGACGCCTGCGGCCAGGGGGCGCTCGGGATCCTGAGGGGCCAGACTCTGTACTGGAGACGCTCTACTCCAAGCGCAGCTCTCTATGCGCCGCGTCCTGCGTCCCCACGCCGAGGCGGCGGGGCGGTGCGCGTGCGCACTGAGGCTTCACACCATATGTGCCCTGTCCCAGTGCGCGGGTCTGTGGAGAGCCGGGTGCGAGAGGTGGCGGTGCGGAGGGACCGAGCTGAGCGGAGCCCGAAGTCGGCCGGGGGACGGTGGCTCCGGGAGAGACCGAGTAGGGAGGCGAGGGGTCGTGAGCGCCGCTGACAAGCCATGGGGAAGAAACAGAAAAACAAGAACGAAGACAGGTAGGCAGTGGCTGCGTCCGTGCCGCCGCGGCCGCCGCGGCTCCGGGAGCTCCGGTCCCGCAGCGCGGGGAGGGACCCGG